AACAATTTGGAAAATGCGAGCCAAGCAAATGTGTTAATGTGAGGGAACGTAGATGAGTTATGTCGCAACTGATCATGCCAAACTTTTCAAATGGGTAGAACATTGTAATTCCATATCCACATGGTAGTATGTCCGACCTAAGGTTAGGACTTTTGCTTCAACTAAAGCTAGGCGCAAAAGCGTTAATATGTTTTGCAATTGGTAATATCCTCAGAATAAGAAGGAGGATAAACGCATTGTTCGCATCTCTAAAGGTTTTGATTTGAGATCAGAATATCATATAAGGGCTGAAGGTAATGTTGTGATTTATAAATCTCTATAATACATATGTTTGAATGTGATGTTCTTGATATGTGGCTTCGATGTTTCTCTGATTATACTTGTTAATTTACATCGAAGTAGGCAGTACCGTGCACAGTACTCAAGCTTATTAAACCTTCATTGAAGATGTATTCAACAATTAATAATACGAGCGGCTAAGCAATACATTGAAGGAATGGCAATACATAATACAGGAATATGGTTGTTCTGTTCTGTTCTGTGAGCTGTGGCTTTTGAGTGAAACTGTGAAGGAAAAAACGACTACAATCAAGCATACAAGGAATTTCGAGGCAAAGCACAACGCCTTGCCGGCTGCTTCGATAAACTATTGCTGATAACAAATTTGCATTTTATTGTTGAGTTTGTTCATAAGAGCAGTGCTGCAGGTGCGAGACGGGTGTAAAACTACGCTAAGCGTTCTCGAGACTCAATATATGACCTTTGAAAATCTGTCATTCTTCCTGTTTGTATAACCGATGAAACAAGAGGTAGACAGTTAGTTTCCATTCCTGTCTTTAGGTTGCTGCCAAAGGTCACGTGGGGGGTGAAAGAGAGAGTTTGCTGAACTGGTCGTCAGTTGCAAAAGAGATCTAAATGAAACACTGTTTTTCTTGTCGAACAAGCCACGCAATCGATCACAAATAAAAACAGATAGGAGAAAACTTCTAAGAAGAAATTCCGAATGCTTTCGAACTTTATGTGTTCGTATTGGACTTCGCCGGAGAAATTCCGAATTACTCACAGGACCAAGGCGTTACAGGTTTTCACAGACCTATCTGTAACTTTCCATAAATATCCTATGCTTAATGGATGGAGTTGCTTGCACATATAAACAGGTGACATAACGTAACCAGCATATTCTGTTTCATTTTGCTCATTATCTTTAGTTGTGCCTTTGATTTGATATTATTTCCTCGTACGCTTGATTGTTGGCCATTTTTTCTTTCATAGTTTCACTTACAGGGCACAGACTCACAAAACATAACAAAAATCCATATTACTGTATTATTTTTTGCTCTTCCTTTAAGTATTGCGTGTTGCCGCTCATAACACTAATTGTTGCATCTATTTCTAATAAAGATTCAATTATCCAAGTTTTAAGTACTGTGTTTTAAGTACTGTAAAATATCAAGTCCCACGTGGCAAACGATTAGCAAAAACAAGTGCTCCGTATAATTGGTGCACGGCCAGAAATTTTTATTTATCCGTATGACAGATTAAAATTCGGCAAGCATGCAGCACCCTCTTCGATTTTGAAGCAGCGCACATGCAAGACGAGGAGATTCTTCGGAACTCGGTACAAGTCTCCACGGGGGTGGTCTAAATCCATACTACGGCCGTAACTCCTGGACTGAACGTTTCTGATCCAAATGCTAGTATCTTCATAGGAACAATGGCAGAGATTACTTACACAGTTGAAGAATCTCTCCACTATATTTTGAAGCTTAATGATATTCGAGCAAAGTAATTGAATGAGCTACAAGAGCTGGGGTACTGGATGGATCTCTTGGCTGGATGCACTATACTTGGCTCATGAATGCTACGAGGCAGTGGCGGTCAGCGATGCTTGGAAGCTAGGTCGGCTAGCGTATTTGGACGAGATTGAGCAGAACGCGATGATGAGATCAACGAGAACCACAGATAGAGGTTGCTCACACCGCAAGCTATCACTTTCAGCTACAAAAAATAAGATATGGGGCGCATCACTCAAGCTATTCTCAGAGGATTGAGTCTCTCACGCACGATAAAAAGGAAGAGCTTCATGACGTGGAGCTGAAACCAATAAGCAGCAGGGCAGAAGAGTATTGAGCGATGAAGGATATTCAACAAGTCGTCACAGCCTTCACAAACGCATGGCATCGTAAGGAAAATTGCGAATGGAATATGACCGGAGAGAACAATGGATTTCTCAAATAAAGAAAGAACACTACCTCACACGACACGAAATGCATCATCAGCACGAGAACTCGAGACTGGTTCCAGAGCCTGTACCAGAACATCCAGGATCAAATGGCACAGGAGCGAGAAAAAGGCATCCGAGCGTTGAAAGAAGAAATTCAGATGCAGCATGGATATCTCTACCAAGTGGCTTGCCTGG